GCCATAGAAGAGTCGAAAGATCTACCAGTGTTGACGAAGGAAGAGCTTCAAGGGACTCTTGAGTCTCATGAACAGAGGATGGCTGAGAGAGCTGCAGGAAAGTCGAAAGATATGGCTTTGCAGGCACAGACGGAAAAGGAGAGAAAAGGCAAAGGTAGCTGGAATGGCAACAAAGGAGGAAACCAATCGAATCAAAAGAAACCTTGGAACCCAGGCAACCAAAGAGGTGGTGCTGCAGGTAAAGGAAGAGGTGGTGATCGAAAGACAGACAAAAGCCACATTCAATGTTTCAATTGCCAGAAGTATGGTCATTATGTTAGTGATTGTCCATAAAAGAAGAGAAATCAAGAGACTGATGCAAAGCTGGTGAAACATGAAGAAGAAGAAACGTTGCTAATGGTCACAACAAACGATGAAGAAAGATTCCAAGATCAGTGGTACTTGGACTCAGGATGCTCATCACACATGACTGGAAGGAAAGATTGGTTTGTCAACATGAAGCCCTCGTCGAAGAATACAGTGAAGTTTGCAAATGACAACACTCTAGCAGTTGAAGGTGTTGGTGATGTTCTGATTATGAGGAAAGATGGCAAAAGGTCAACAATTTCCAATGTGTTGTACATACCAGGCATGAAGAGTAATTTGCTCAGTATAGGGCAGCTTGTCGAAAAGAACTACAAGGTAGTTGTCAAAGACAAGATGATAAGAGTTCTCGACGCAGGTGGTAGATTAATCTTGAAGGCTCCAATGTCTCAAAATAGGACCTTCAAGATTGGACTCAATGTGATGGAGCACAAGTGTTTAGCAACTGCAACCACTGAAGTCGAAATAGAAGTTCGACAGGAACCAATTGTAGATGAAGCAGGTTCAAGAAGACCTCGACGAACAAGACACATGCCTGCAAGGTTGCAAGAATGTGTAATCACATCAGATGATGTAGTCGATGAAGAGGGTGAGCTGGTACGTTATGCTTTCTACGCAGATGTCGTACCAGTCAATGCAGCTGAGGCATTGAAAGATTCGAAGTGGGTGAAAGCAATGATTGAAGAGTTAGAGTCCATCAAAGTCAATGATACCTGGTCACTTGTCGAATTGCCACAAGGCAAGAAGGCAATTAATGTGAAGTGGGTTTACAAGGTAAAGGTAAATCCTAAAGAAGAAGTAACTCGACACAAGGCGAGACTTGTGGCGAAAGGATTTCTTCAGAAGGAAGGAATCGACTTCGATGAAGTATTCCCACCTGTTGCTAGAATCGAAACAATCAGGTTGGTTGTTGGTCTAGCAAATATGAACAACTGGCACACATGTCAGATGGACGTGAAGTGTGCATTCGTTAATGGCCCCTTAGAAGAAGAAGTTTATGTTGCACAACCAGCTGGGTTTATGAAACAAGGCGAAGAAAGAAAGGTGTACAGGCTTCATAAAGCCCTGTATGGACTTAAGCAAGCTCCAAGAGCTTGGAATAAGAAAATTGACATCTTCTTAAGGGAGAAGGAATTTGTGAAGTGTACAACTGAGCATGGAGTATATGTAAGAAGAAGCAATGACGAATTGCTTATACTATGTCTCTATGTTGATGATTTGTTGATAACAGGGAGTTCCAAGAAGGAGATCGAAGATTTCAAACATGACCTGAGTAAGGAGTTTGAAATGTCAGACTTGGGAAATCTCTCATATTTCCTTGGCATCGAATTCTACAAGACAAGTAGAGGTTTGATGATGCACCAAAGAAGATATGCAGGCGAGATACTCAAGAGATTTGAGATGCAAGATTGCATCCAAACTTCGACTCCAGCTGAGCCCAGATTGTAACTGTCGAAGGATTCAGATGAAGATGATGTCGACCCAACCCAATACAGAAGACTTATCGGGTCACTTAGATACCTTTGCCACATAAGGCCTGACTTAGCATACAATGTTGGTATGATAAGTAGATTCATGCAGAAACCAAAGGTATCACACCTAGCAGCGGCGAAGAGGATACTGAGGTATCTGAAAGGAACTCTCGACTATGGCATTTTGTTTCCAGCAGCTGATGAAGGAAAAGAATGCAAGTTAGTGGAATACACAGACTCCAGTTGGTGTAGTGATGCTGAGGATCGAAAATCCACAGCTGGATATGTGCTTATGTTAGGTGGTGCACCAGTTGCTTGGAATTCGAGAAAGGAACCAGTGGTGGCATTGTCATCATGCGAAGCAGAATATATAGCTGCTTCCCTTTGTGCATGTCAAGCAACTTGGATGGTGAACTTGGTCGAAGAAATCACAGGGAAGAACCATGGAGCAATTACCATGAAGATAGACAACATGTCAGCTATCAACTTGGCAAAGAATCCAATAGTTCATGGTCGAAGCAAGCACATCAAAATGAGGTTCCATTATCTCCGAGAGAGGGTAGCAGAAGAGAAGATGAAGTTGGAACACTGCAGAACTGAGAATCAGATTGCAGATATCATGACGAAGGGAGTGCAGGTCGAAGCCTTCAGAAGACTAAGGGCCATGATGAATGTAGACAATTTAGACACAATGAATTAGGTGGTGTGTTAAATATAATTCATTGTGATTTGATATGATTAGATTTGATACCATATGATTAGATTTGATATCATATGATTAATTTGATATGATATGATTTGATATCATATGATTAGATTTGATATCATATGATTAGATTTGATTTAGAATATTTTGGGCCTTTTATGTTTTGGGCTAGTGTAAACCTAAAACTATAAATAGGGTGCCTTGCTTTGTATTCTACATCACAACAGAACAAATTTCACAGTTGCAGTTAGCAAGTGAAAGTTCAATAAGAAATCCCACAGTTGTGGGTAACACATTCTCTCCAAATACTTATTCTCTCATTCTTCTCTTTTTTGTTTGTTATTCTTCTTCTCTTTTGTTGTTCTTAATAATTACTTGTTATTACCATCATTATCATATAGTGGGTTTGTTCATCAATCTTGAGATCAAGATTGTAGGGAATTCTTCATAGGGTGTGAGGTGAATTTCCAACACATAGATGGTTCTCAAACATTGGACTCCAAGAAGGATGTGTTAAAAGTTTTATATTTAACATCTTAGATTCAAGAATCCGAGCAAGAGATTTGATTCATTCCTTGATTCAAAAGATGGAAATATATTTGTTAAGTTTTAGGAAAAATCTAAGAAAGAGAGATTATTGAAAAACTCAACGAGTGATCTAAATGTTAAAATATGAAATAATGAATTCAAAAATATTAAAAGAGTCAACATATTCGTCATAAGAAGAAATAAAAGATTAATCAACACCAAAAGTGATGAGTTTTCAATCTGTAGAAGACAGGAAGAAGCTTTGTCTAGTAGAAAAGACTAAACAAATTTATCAAATAGAATATTTGAAAGATTAGAAAGAACGTTTGGGGATTCGTCACATGAAGATGATACAACCTTAATAAACTCATGCAAAGTTGTCTTCAACAATATCTCTAACAATACGTCAAAATATTCTCATTAAGTTTCATTTTCGCAAATAAAAAGAATTTGATGAAGAAGGACATGTGTGTCTTCAAGTCTCAAGAGAAGACAATGACACTAAAGTAATATTTCTAACCTATGATCAAATATTTAAGTTAAATGTTAAACTTAATAAAAATAATGAGAAATTAGAAAAAGGGTATGGTTGATTTTAAAGAATATATTAAATTTTTAAAAAAGATAAATGAAATTATTAGTGAAAAAATAACTAGCATTAAATATGAATCTTTAAAATATAAAAAAAATGCAAAACATGCGAATATTTAAAAATTGAAATAATAAACTTGCATAAAACTTTAAAAAAATATACTAAAAATAAAGATAATATAGGTTTAGTTTTATCCAATCAAATATCTTCATATATTAAAAAGGGTTTAAGCTATAAACATAACAGATTGTTTAGTAATATTTATCATACTTGGAAGAAATTCAATCGTCCTATTTTAAGTGTAACTTTTGTAACAAACTCGGTCATTTGAAACCTCTTCTAGAATTCAATCAAAATTATTCCAATCCAATATTCATATCCAAATCTTTGTTACTATTTTCTTATTTTTCTATAGTGAAAAATTATAAATTCCATTCAAATATAAAAAAAAATACCGAATACAAAATAATTCTCATATACAATCATAAATTATAAGAAACTACATAAATTTATTATTTAAAATATTAATAATAATCAAACAATAATTCTATTAAATAATTCATTATAATTGAGAATGATTTGTTGAAGATAATATATTATGTTTCTTTTAGAATTTATTTTTAATAAAGTTTAATTTTTTAAAATTACAAAGAATTTCTCAATTTTTGAGATTGATTCTAGAAAGAATATTAAAAATCAATTAAGGATGATATGAATTGAGAAAAGAGAATAATGGTGTTATAATTTAAAAATAAAATAAATAAATAAATAAAATGAGTTAGTAATAGAGAAAAAAATAAAAAGATTATAAAATTATAAAGTATTAAATATAAGTGAGATACTTTGATATCTTTGGATTATATTTTAATATTATTTAATTTTTAAATAAATTTAAAATTTAACTTTATTTACATGGATATTCAACTAAAATCTATAGGTATCAAAGAATTATCTAAATAAAAATACGACAATTTAAAAAAAAAGTCACAATAATATTGTAAAATTACAATTTAAAATGAAAATTTGAAATCATAAAATAAGACACCCTTATATTTTTAATTAGTTATTAATATGATATGATATTCTTAATTTTGGGTATTATAAATATGTATATAGATTATTTTGTGAGCATAAGAAAGCAAGGAATAAGGAAGAGTGGTTATTTTGTGTACTCTGTGTTAAGAGTAATACCTTCCTTTTTTCTCGTCTGATTTTTCGTTCTTTACGATCACCTAATCGATCAAATCTCCAAAACCCTAATTTCTGTAACTCATTATATATCTCTCAATAAATCACTTCCATTTGTTTCTTTACTATCATCCAATCGTTTACTGCTCTGATGGAGGATTTCGGCAGCAGCGACGATGATTATCAGTACTCTGATCAAGAAGATTCTGATTGCGAATTATACGAAAACAACGATCAAAACTTTGACTTACTCTCTTCCACTGCTCAGGTTTTTTTCTTTGGATTTCGTTGATTTTCCCCTTTTTTGTTTATTAGTTTTTCGCTTTTTGATTTCTTTTTGTTTGATGCAGATGTTTTTCGTGATTGTGTGAGTTTGTGTGAGTGAGTGTGATTTTTTTTGGTTATGGTTGTGGGTTTTGAATCTGTGTATTGAGTTGATTGTTATTATCCTAATGATGAAGTGCATTATAGTGAAAGAGAAAGAGGGTTGATGAAATTTTGGAGCTTTATAATTGCTTTGGATAAATAGTTTGTTGAATTTCTGTATTGTATTGCATGATCGTTTATGGGTGCCGAATTTATTCAAGGAATTTGAATTTTTGTGTGGTTTATGTATAGTCCATGTTTAGATTTGCGATGAGTTTGGCAGAATGAATTTTGATTTTGCATAACTGTAGATTTTGAAAAAAATTCTGGGGATCACTTATATATAATCCAATTTCAAAGGGCTAATACTATATTTATTATTTGCAGGTGATTACTGAGGAATCATTGCTGGCTGCACAGGTAATATGAGAAAAGTATTTGAACTAGGTTTTTTTGTTTAGATATTTGGTTTTTTTTACTGAGATTTCAATGCATATTCAGAAAGAGGACTTGCGGAGAGTGATGGACATGCTTTCTGTAAGGCAACATCATGCGCGGACATTGCTGATTTATCATCGCTGGGATGTGGACCATTTGTTTGAAGTTTATGTGGAAAAAGGGAAGGCATATATGTTTGCTCAGGCAGGTGTTAGTGTGGATGAATGTCGTGATTCTAACTCACTTGTTAGTGCTTCAGTAATGTGTGAAATCTGCATGGACGATATTTCTAGTGATGAAGCAACAAGAGTGGATTGCGGTCACTGCTTTTGCAACTCCTGTGAGTGTTTGTTTATTCTTTCACTATTGGTCTTATTTTCTAAAGAATTTTTTTTAGTAAAATATAAAAATTACATTTGAGTCCATAATGTTACCCACGAAAGCACACAGGCAAAATTAATGAACCCTACATAAATAGTGGTGGTCCTGCTGATTTTTATGACATCTTACATGATGTCAAATTAGTAGGCAGCATAAAAGGATTCATATCAATAGAACATCTATCACCTTTCAACGAGATTGTAAGGTATTAGCCAGATGGCCTGGCTTAGATTGTTTTGATTGATAATGCATTAAGCAGTGAGTTAGGATCTGCATCAGCCTGTTTTTATGCCCTTGTCAATGACTGAAAAAATTACTTTAAATTAATCTTGGTCATCTACTTTTACAGGTTGGACACAGCATTTTATTGTCAAGATAAATGAGGGTCAAAGTAAACGCATCAGATGCATGGCTCACAAGTGTAATTCCATTTGTGATGAAGCTGTTGTAAGAACTTTACTCGGTAGAAAGCACCCTGATATGGCAGAGAAGTATGAGCGGTTTCTTCTTGAATCCTACATCGAAGACAATAAAAGAGTTAAATGGTGTCCGAGCACACCACATTGTGGGAATGCAATTCGTGTGGAGGGTGATAAATTGTGTGAAGTAGAATGTTCATGTGGAGATCAGTTTTGTTTTAATTGCTTGTCAGAAGCACACTCACCCTGTTCGTGTTTGATGTGGGAGCTTTGGGAAAAGAAGTGTCGTGATGAATCAGAAACTGTTAATTGGATAACGGTTCATACAAAAGCTTGTCCAAAGTGCCACAAACCGGTGGAGAAGAATGGTGGCTGTAATTTGGTTAGCTGTATTTGTGGTCAAGCATTTTGGTGAGTTTTCCTTCTTGCATTATATATTCTGATCCAACTTTTCCCCAGTTATTAATCTTTTCCATACAATAACTTATCTTAGTTGGTTATATATAGATTCAATTTATTTTAAATATGTATTGTAATATGGATCAGGTTCTGTTTACAACTGTTCTAGCTAACACGAACTTGTGTTTTCTATTATAATTTCCCCTTCTTTTTTTCGCACAGTTGGTTGTGTGGTGGAGCTACTGGCCGGGAGCATACTTGGTCAAGTATAGCAGGTCACAGCTGTGGTCGCTACAAAGAACAAGAGAAAACAGCTGAGCGGGCAAAGAGGGATCTGTATAGGTACATGCATTATCATAACCGATATAAAGCTCACACAGACTCCTTTAAGCTTGAAAGTAAACTGAAAGATACCATACGAGGGAGGATTTCTATATTGGAAGAAACAAAAAGTTCTGAACTCAGTGATTATAGCTGGATACATAATGGACTCTCTAGACTTTTTAGATCTAGGCGTGTCCTTTCATATTCATATGCATTTGCATTTTATATGTTTGGAGATGAGCTTTTTAAAGAAGAAATGTCAGAAGCTGAAAGGGAAATGAAACAGAACTTATTTGAGGATCAACAGCAGCAGTTTGAGTCAAATGTTGAAAAACTCTCTAAGATGCTGGAGGAGCCTTTTGATACTTTTGAATGTGAGAAGGTTATGGAGATAAGAATGCAGATAATAGATCTAGCAACACTGATTGATGGTCTTTGTAAAAAAATGTAAGTACCGTGCTTTAGATAAGTTTCTAGTACGTAGCTGCCATTTGGCACTGATAATTGTGAATTCTTATAATGAATGCAGGTATGAGTGCATCGAGAATGATTTATTGGGTTCTATTAATCTTGGCACTATCCACAGTATAGCACCATATAGATCAAAGGGCATAGAGAGAGCTTCAGAACTTCAAGTTTGTTGGAGCAATAAAGCCAACAATACGGGTAAGAGTACTACTATCCACAGTATAGCACCGTATATTGACTGCAGTACATCAGTTGTCATTGCTGTGACTCAACACATTTTATGATCACGTTGGATTCTTAATATATAAACTAATATTGATTCCGCTAACGTTTGAAACATGCATTGTGTTTTAATATGTATATACGTCGGGATCATATTGGGATCGGTAAGTTTTGGATATTAGCCTTGCTCTCACCCTAGTTTTAATAAAATAGTTGGTAGTAGGGAGGGGTTTAACTTCTACAATTGAACTGTGATATTTGCACATGAATGAATATTGCAACATGAAAACCATGCCAAATTCATTTATATTTTTAGCTTTGTTATTGTATTATGTTATGAATGTTGTTATATATGTTTTCTTCAGTTTGACTTAGTGGATGCTCAGAAATGTTACTGAGTGAAAGGATTCTTGTATATATATGCTGCAAGCGTAGGTGTAACAGCAGAGTTTGATCGGTCAGAAGAGAGTGGATGTTCTTCTCGTAAGCGTGCCAGAAAAGACGGTGAAATGTTTGATCTAAACTTGCCAGCTGAGGCTCTAGACAGAATTTGACTTTCAAGGAGACTTTATAAAAAAACAGGCGTACAGGTCTAACATAAATTGCTTTGCTGCATTTGATGGGGATGAATCAACCATTTTTGGATTTCACATTCGAGCTGTTTACTCCCTCATTTTTTTTCTGATGTCTCTGCCGAGATATCTTTCCAAAGAGATTCAGTGTTCCTTTTTGCTTGTACATAGCCTTGAGGCACTTATTTACAATTAGATTATATAAATGCCTAGTTGGGTTTCTAGAGGACAATTTTTAGGATAAGGTTTAATTTCTATCTTATTATGGATTTCAAGTGAAGGTAACTTCACCGTTTTTTCTTTGAAAACTTTCATATAATAATACTCTTTCTTTTACTCAACGATGTTCCTTTAATAAAAGAATAGCTGTGACGTAGTATGTAACAAACATATCTCAGATTCTAGATTCCTTTGAATCACAGATATATATATATATATATATATATATATATATATATATATATATATATATATATATATATATATATATATATATATATATATATATATATATATATATATATATATATATATATATATATATATATATATATATATATATATATATATATATATATAGCAGTATAGTCAATAATGTCTCAAATATCTGGGACTTATTAACTATGTGCAGTTTTGTATGTCAAGTTTTTTTCTTTTAAGGCAAGGGGCTTAATTCATGAAGGGGTGGCAAACGGGCATGTCCGCCTTGAAAAAGTCCGAAAAAAATGAAAATGGACGGACTTAAAACTTAGATCCATCTCGAAAAAAATTAAGGGTGGAGTGGGAAAAGCTCGCATGCACTACAACTTTTTAGCTTAAAAATGTAAAATTTTATATAAACACAAAATGCAAAATTTTATATGAACACTTGTGTCTGCGAAAGCGTGAAAAAAATGAGACGGTGTGGGATGAACACATTAAAGGGTGAGGGTTTAAATGGTGTGGGATGGACACATTAAAGGGTGAGGATTTAAACGTTTAAACCCTTAATCCGTTCTGTGCTAAAGCGAGGGTTTAAACGGTGTGGGATGGACATATTAAAGGGTGAGGGTTTAAACGACGTTTAAACCCTTAATCCGTCCTGTGCTAAAGTGTTAGCAAAACAGAAATACTTAACCGTGTTAGCAAAACAGAAATACTTAACATACAAAATATGAGGGTTTAATCCCTTTGCCACTTCAAAATATGAGGGTTGGTTTAATCCCTTTGCCACTTCAAAATATGAGGGTTTAAACCCTTAGTCTATTCTGTAGTAAAGTGCAAGCAAAACAGAAATGCTTAACATACCGGACCGTTTTAAAGTGCGAGCAAAACAGAAATACTTAAAAGGTCCGTTTTAAAATGCGAGCAAAACAAAAATGCTTAACATACCGGTCCGTTTTACCACTCTAAAATATGTGACTTATATCAAGGCGTTTTTAAAGGTTTTTTTTTCATACTTTGAGATTTCTTATTATTTTTCTGCGATCATGTTTATTCCATGTTAAGGTAATGGAAAACAAAAATTTGTCGTTTAAGTTGTCTATAAGCAATTACAAAAGGTTTACAAAATTTTCATTTTTTTGGGATATGGGTTTTGTTTGAGAGTTTATAAGGGTTATGGAGAAAGTAAAAAAATAGAGAATCTTCTCACTTTTTTGGGAGTTTTTTTTTTTAGAATAGGAAAAAATATTTATTTTTTGAAGTATTACAAAGGGAAGTAATAAATTTTAAAAATTATTTAAAACTCTCAAAAACTCTAAAATTCTTTCAATACTTTTATAGAGTTCCTCTACATTGAGGATTTACTCTATTGAAAATAAGGGGAGAGTAGGGGTGTTCAAAAGGAAGGATTTATTAGGCATTAATTTGGTGATTCGAACCAAACTTTATTTTGTTCAAATTTTTTAAATTTAAATTCAACTTTAATTAACATGTTTAAATTTGGAGTACGTTTAGTTCATATGGTTTCAAAATCTCAAATTTGGAGTAGTTTAGTTCATAATATTAAAAATAATTTTGGTTTAATTAAAATATTAAAAATTTAAATTATAAAATTTAGTTGAAGTATTTGAATTTTTGATTATCTGATCTGGTGGAAGTACACTGTGGATGGGGCGGCTACAGGTTGTCCTGATATTGCTTCTTGTGCTGGTGTGTTTAAAGATCATACAATATCTGATAGAACCTACTACTAGACTACCAAGATCAACAATCGCATAAGAGATAAAAACAAAATAACAACTTTTTTTTTTTTTTTTTTTTTTTTTTTTTTTTTTTTTTTTTTCTGTCCCATAAAATATCTCATACAAGATATTTATAGTTAGGGTTACATAATTTAAATGGGCCTAGTAAAATGACCCACTGCAATACAAATTGAAGATTACTAAATGCACCACTAATTAAACGATAAAATCCTTAAGTAAACTAGATACCCTCTTCATTCTCTTGGGCCTAGCCTGTTTCCTAACAATACTCTCAGGGTCCAAAAGAACCTTGTCCTCAAGGTTCAAAACGTTAGTGGGCTGGTGAGTGGGTGGATTAAATGGGCCCACGAAGGGTAATTGGGGAGACAAGGGATTTTCAACCGTGCGTTGGGGAGAGTGCAGTTCAGAGGGCAGGTGAAGTGGGTCATTGGAAAGTGGTGAACCGACCTTGGGAAGTGGGGCACGTGGGTGAAAGCTGGAGCGCTGCTGGCAAGTCTTGGGGCGCGTGGCATTGGAAGAAGGAAGGTTGTTGGGGACGTGTGCAGCATTGATGGGTAGTGTTTCTGAAGTAACATGCAGAGACTTACTTAAAGTCTGAGGGTCACATAGAGTTTCAGTTTCTCCCACAATTTTTTCTTCTCTCTCTCGTTGTCTTGGTGGTTCACCGTTTCGAAAGCACTGTAATTCTTCCAACTCAGGTTTTGTTTGTTGCTGCATGTGAGTTCCTCCACGAGAGTCACTTTGTGTGGTGATGTCGGACGTGAAGCGCAAGGCGTCCGGGGGAGGAAGACGACTCAGGTCCGGCGGAGATGTTGCATGATATGGTCGCAAAAGTGAGACATGCACGACTGGGTGGATGCGTGAAGAAGATGGAAGATCCAACAAGTAAGCAACATTACCGATGCGTTTGATGATTCTAAACGGTCCAAAAAAACGTTTGGAGAGTTTTTGAGAAGAGCGTTGTCCCGCCGTGGTTTGTCGGTATGGTTGCAGTTTCAACAACACGAGATCTCCTTCGTTAAAGGTATAATCCATTCTTTCCTTGTTCGCTTGCTTTTCCATGAGGACTCTGCTTTTTTTTAGATTGTTGGTTAACTGAGCAAGAATATTGTTTCTGTCTTGCATGGATGTGTCCAAGGAAGGAGAAGTAGCGGTACCGGCGAGATAATCAGGAATGGTCGGAGGGTCGCGACCGTACAAGGCCTTGAACGGCGTCATCTGAATCGCTGTGTGGAAAGAGGTATTGAACCAGAACTCCGCAAGATGCAGATATTTAAACCACTGACGCGGGTGTTCCCCTGTTAAACAACGAAGGTAAGTTTCGATCGACCTATTTACGACTTCTGTTTGGCCATCGGTTTCTGGGTGATAAGAGGTGCTGTATTGCAGGGTGGTGCCTTGGAGCTTGAAAAATTCTTTCCAAAAGGTGCTCAAAAACAGTGGATCACGGTCGGAGACTATGGATTTCGGAACACCATGGAGGCGGAAAATTTCAACCGTGAAGCGAGAAGCGAGGTCTTTGGCGGAAAACTTCGAAGGCAAGGCGAGGAAGTGAGCATATTTCGTCAGTCTGTCACAGATGACCCAAATAGTTGTGTAACCGAATGAGTTAGGCAGATGGGTAATGAAGTCCATTGTGATTTCGTCCCAGACTTTGTGAGGTATGGGAAGCGGTTGTAACAATCCCTTTTTTCTTTGAGTTTGGTATTTGTTATGCTGGCAGATGTCACAGTATTTAACCATCTTCTTAACTGCTAGGGAGAGGCCAGGCCAGCGGAAGGATAGCTGGATACGAGACAATGTAGCTTTGACACCTGAGTGGCCTGCCGATGGGGTGGTGTGATATTCGTTGAGAAGATTCTGTCGAAGTTGGGAAACATCAGGTATGAAGATCTTGTCCTTGTAGTAGAGTAAACCATTCGTGAAGTGATACAATGGTTTGGTACCATCGTGGTTGTTAAACTGTCGGACTAACTGTTGTCCTGCATTGTCTTTTGCATAAAACTGGCGCAATGTTGTGAGCAAGCAGGGAACTGGAGACGATAAGGCGAAAAGTTGGGATTCATCTGGACAATATTTGCGACTCAAAGCATCGGCCACGAGATTGGAACGACCTGGCTTGTAAGTGATATCAAAGTTAAAACCTTGTAATTTTGCAGCCCATTTTTGTTGTTCTGGGGTTTGAATTTTTTGCATTAGGAGATTTCTTAGGCTCTTTTGATCCGTATAAATGTGGAAAGTTTGACCGATAAGGTACTGACGCCATTTTTTGACAGCTTCAGTTACGGCGAACATTTCCCGGACATATACAGAGGCAGCCTGCAGTCTGGGACACATCTTCTTGCTGAAGAACGCAATAGGGTGGTCTTCTTGTGACAAAACAGCACCAATGGCGACACCCGAAGCATCAGTTTCAATGTGAAAAGTTTTTGTAAAATCTGGTAGCACTAAGACCGGCATGTCGGTCATGTGTTTCTTCAGCTCTGTAAAGGCCACTGATGCCTCTGGACTCCATGTAAATTTAGTAGATTTGAGCAGGTCGGTGAGGGGAGCGGCGAGTGAGGCGTAATTCCGTACAAATCTACGGTAGAACCCGGTGAGGCCCAAAAATCCTCGGAGAGCCGTGAGAGAACGAGGTTGAGGCCAATCCAAAATGGCCTTGACTTTATCTGGATCGGGTGCAACACCACCCACAGAGATTACATGACCCAAATAATCAATTTGTTTGGCTGCAAAAACACACTTAGACAATTTCACAAAGAAAGAATTAGACTTCAATAAGTCGAACACAACCTG